TGGGGGACAAGTGTGAGAGGAAAGGATTTTGAGGATAAGGTAAAGAATGTTTGTGGGAGAGACTGGAGAAGGATATAGTAGTTTGATGAAAACAAACAAAAAAGCTCAGTTAGCACTCAAATCAATGTGAGTTCATCTTTACAAGCAATAGACCCTACGTCTAGCTAAATTAGGCAGAAAGAGGATTTATTACAATAGTGTTGGATGACCCACAGAATCTCCAGGTAGGCTGGAGAATCAGGCTTGGAGGACACTCTGGCAGGGCCTCCTCATAACATAAACGTGGTCCAGCAAAGATGCCCAGCACTGCGTGCCTCTCAGACAGCACCAGCAGTTGATAGTAGAAGCAGTCGCCACCTTCACCAGGACGCATTGTGTATAGTATCTGCTTCTTTATGTCACTATCTTCCAAAGCAACATTTGTGTGACTTTGGGGCATTGAGGGGAGGGAAGTAGAGGGCAGAGGGTGGAGTATGACAGGCAGAGCCAAGTCCATGTGCCATGCCCTAGCTGCAAGGGAGGCTGTGAAAATGGATGCAGGGCCCTGTCACCTTCTATCACAGCACATGAACTCTGGGAATAATGTATTCTCAAATATAAGTGCGTTCAAATGATAAGTGGCCAAGAATAATGGCAAACACACTAAACTCCATTAAATTCTAGTGTGGGCAGTGACTCAGAGTGCAGGCTTTGGAATAAGACTGCCTAAGTTCAAGTTTAAGGTCTAGTAATTCCTTGCTCTTTAATTTCCCTCAGACTCATTTTACTCATTGGGAAAATGGAGATAAGACTAGAACCCAGCCCAGAGTTGGTATAGAGATTAAAGAAGGCAATGCTCACATGAAGAGACAAATTATGAGCCTGAGGATGCCCGGCCTTTCCTTCTCTTTATCAAAGAAGATTCTGGTGGTGGCCTTTCCATTTATTTTGTTTCCATATCCTCCAAGGAAGGCTCTGTTATTGCCAAAGCTGTTCCTAGGGCCTTTGTGATATAGAATTGGGACAGAAGATCGGGAGGGATATAACTCAAGATGCACCTGTGCTAGGACTAAGACAAGGAAAGGCTTTTTCAAGGATTTTGGAGAAAAGAAAGACTGGAGATCTAGGGATACTAGAAAAGAAGATAAGAGAGGAAGGGGGCTTTTAAGAATATTGCCCTTAAAAGATAGATAGATAGACACACAGACAGATAGATATCAAATCTTATACACGTCATCTTCTATATTATGTATTTAATCTTTTATGGTATTGAGGAAACTCTAGCAATGAATATGGCAATTTAAAAATTATCTTTTGTTGGTGGACCATGTTTCTTTTAGGTGCCTCAAGAATAGATTAAGTGGATCATTGAGTCCTCAAGAAGGAAATGAAAACACAGGTAAAACACTTAGCATACTACCTGGCACAGAGTAAGTGCTCTAGACATGTTCACCGCTGTTATTATCAGAACTGGATCAGAAAGCCAGAGAAAGACTTCCAGCAAGAACGGTACGATGTTAGCAGTCACTTGAGCCATAGAACCAGAACTTCATAAAATCCTCTGAGGGAGAGCAGGATTGATGCCAAACCCCAGGCAAATTGACCTGAATCTGCTGACAGGCAGCTGTAGGGCCTTCATCCTTCTCTCCCACCTCCCAGGTAGAAAGCAGAACTCCTTGTTATGAGCTAAACTGTGCCACTCCACCCCTGACTCACGTGGGGAAGTCCTCAGTACCTCAGAATGCACCTTATTTGGAGACAGGGCCTTAAGGAGGTAATTAAGGTAAGATGAGGTCATATGTGTGGACTTGAATCCAACAGGATTGAAAGAAGGGATCTAGTCCCAGACAGACGTGCAGAGAGGGTAAACCATGTGAAGACATCCATCCACAGGGAAAAAGATCCTCAGAAGAAACCAACCCAGCTGACACCTTGTCCTTGACTTCTTGCCTCCAGAACCGTGAAGAAATATATTTCTGTTGTTTAAACCACCTGTCTGTGGTGCTTGGTTACAGCAGCCCTACCGAATGAAAACACCTGTAAACCAGCGACATCGAGGTTCAGGGCATTGTCGGTGTACTCCTCATTGTATTCGGCTTGTAAGCTCATGAGGCAAAGTGTAGAAGCTCAGAAGATGCTGGAGGTATTACCCAGGTTGCTAAATGTCAGTCTGAGGAAGTCATCCAGAAGCTGTTAGATGGTAGAAATGAATTTGGCATTGCTCACTGGTAATCATAATGACAAGTAACACTAAAGATTCAGATACAGGGAGTCCATCTTTGTTTAAGTCATTAAGTAAGAATCAATAATACCCAATATCTATTGAAGGTTTTAATATGCTAGATGCTGTTACTTTGCTGTGTTAACTGATTTAGTGCTCACAACAACCTTATCAATATTAAATATCAAAATATCCGTTGTTGATTAAAATATTAAAATATTCATTGCTATTGCGAATATGATCAGCATTCTAATAATATTCTAACATAAAACCCCTTGCACAGGTAAATAAATGAGACACAGAGAGGAGGCATAATTTTCCCAAGGTCACAAAGCCAGTAGTTGGCAGTCTAACTGTGAGATTAGCTCCAACATATACACTCTTCCCCATCATTCTATATTGCCTCACCATACACTATGTTTACTATAAAATATTTAGAAAATAGTGAAATAAACATAAAGTAGAAAGTACCAAGAGGATCTCTGAGTTTGACCTGAGTGACTCTGATAACCTTGAAAGTAAGCTTCTTACCTTCTGCTGCTTGAATCCTTCACCAGTCAGAAGTAAGTATTGTGAATGACCTTTGGCCCTAATAAATATCAGTGTGACTTGTTTTAACCAAAAAGAGATTAATATGACTGTCCCTTTAAAAATGGTCAGTGTTTGGGAAAAAAATATTATTTGCTGAGTTTTAATGATCCTCCAAATAAACCCAATTCCTTTGTCATCCTTTCCTCAATATTAAAGTCCTCAGTATTAATGTGAATATGATTAGCATTCTAATCATGTATTTACATAAAGGCCCCATTTTTCAGTATTTCCCACCCACTGTTTTTAGTATTTGGCAACCTTGGTGCCGAGGGTCAGGGTTTGTTTGAAAGCGGCTCTTGGCCCCCACCGGCTCTATTTACAACCTCCCACAGTTCCCACATAGCTACAGATGGGTCCTTAGGCCTTAGTCTATCATAAATTTCTTTCTGTAGTGCATAAGGGGTGACCCAGATTTTTTAAATGCCTACAGTCTCCTCTAAAAAAGCAGTTACTTCAAAGGAGGGATTTGTTATAGAGAACACAAACAAACTATTTCAGCTGGGAGCTACTCAGAGATTTTGTAATTTACCATTAAATAGGATTCTTAGCATTGGCAACGGGAAGGCATTCTGCCACAGAGAACCATTGCAATTGATCAGAGTCCACCATCATGTGGACTAAGAAGGCAGCAATAATCTCACCATCCATCTAACTAAGTAGATCAGCCAGAACGCTTTATAATACAACTCAAGAGTGCTAAGCAGGGTGTGATAGAAGATAAGACTTCTGTAAGGAACTGAAATCACTGCTAACTTTTCCAAGCCCTTGGTCAGGTCATTTTTCCTGGTTACTATGTGAGAGCAAAAGCTGTATTTCTAAATCTCTTTTGGAAGTGTGATGTTAAAAAAAAAAAATACCCTTCTTATTGGAAATTTTGTTAGTCTTTTCTGGGGACACTCTTTGACTTAACAACAGCATAATACACACTTAAAGACAGATCAAATTTATGGACTATGACATTTTAATCTTTACCTACCCAACTGTGTTGGGAATAGTACCTTGAGTTCATTATGTTTTCAAATTAAATTTAAATCCATAAATTTCTTATGCATGCTGTGCAAAACAATCTATTCCATAATACTTATTTGTTAAGTATTTGCACTGTGCTTACTGGAAATCACAAAAGGCAAGGTTGTTGTTCTCGACTAGTACAAATAGATTTTTTAAGTGAAAAATTAATATTTAAAGAGAACAAACAAGGTAAAAATAGGTTTACCCCATTTGTAACTCAAGACCATCATATAGTGTGTGTATATATACTATATATATATAGTATATACATACTATATACATACTATACATACTACATAGTATATAGACTAGATTAAACTAAAAATCTGAGCCATCGCTAGTTAGTATAAGCATCTTCAAACTGCATTTAGTATTTTACATAAATTTTAATACTCCTAGCAGTTTCACTGGGGGGACAAATCTTTCCTATTATCTGGCAGTGGCAGATAAAAGCAAGGGCAGTAGTGCATGAGGAGTTGTAAAAATTTGCTATGAGGGGTCACCTACCTGACTCTGCCTTAGAACTTGCTGCATGAGCCTACATCTCACCCTCTGCCTGGGGCTGCCTTGTCCTGGTTCTCCTTCCTGGCTCTCTCCTTGGCTTAGCATTACCCCCACCTGCCCTCCCGCTCACTTTAGGTTAAGCCTGGCTCACACTCTAGCCCTTAGGTAGGGATGTCCAGACAACCATTCCACCGCAACGTGACCTCAGTCCCTGCAAGGGGAATTACTGAGAATGCAAAGATGTGAATATGGTTGCTTACATAACTAATTTGTTTTAAAGCCCAGTTAGTCAACAAATCTCTGCACTGGTTTAGGCTTAGCAGTAGATAATCACACGCGTTGCATCACACACTGTGACGTTGTTACAGAGCCCCTACGCCCTTGCCTTGACACACAGATTTCCCGGCAAGAGCAATCATCCTAGAAGTTGAGAAACAAATACAGGCTTTTTCCTACACTTGATGACACCTCTTCATCTCTATATTCCCATTACTTTCTGCAGCCCCTATTGCTGTACCCAGGATAGAAGCCATGAGCACAGAGAGACCCTTTGTAACAATAAAGCACTTGGGTACTCTCCAATTTCAAAGGGCTTTCATCTACTAAGGAATCAGCATGGTATAGTGGATTTGAACTCTTGACTATGCTATTTGAGTTTGGAAAACTTCCACATGCTGTATGCAAAATGGGATTAGTTATAACTGCTTTGAGCCTCTGTTGAAATGGTGGCCAATGTAATTGACGTTCCTAGGGGTCCCTGGCACATGAAAGGCACTCGAGAAATGGCTACTGTTACCACATACTATTTCTAGAGAGATCAGAAAACACATAGGACACCAGGCAAATTTTAATTTCAGATAAATAACAAATAATTTTTCAGTATATTGCATGGGGCATATATTGACTTTATTTTTATTTGCTAAATATAACAACCCTAATTATTTAATTTGATCTTTAGGACAATCATTGAAGTGGCTATTGTTCACATTTACAGGTGAGGAAACAGACTCAGAACAAGAAATGATGTGAAATAATCATCAACATGTTAAGCAGTAGAACCTGTTCTATTTAACACAGGTTTGGGGTTTGTCGGTTGCTTTATTTTTTCTCAGAAAGGATGCTCTTTCGTGTCTATACTTTCCTCTCTCTGTACCTTCATCTCACCCCCAAGGTGCTTCCCACAGCCACCTAACATAGATGCTCCAGGCATGGACTGTTGGCATGAACAGAGAACAAGGTGGCATGGGATTGCTATGCTACCCTGGAGTACACCCCAAAAAAGAAGAACTGCCTTTAAACACAAGAGTTGAGATGAGGTGGATTGAAAAGAAAGATAGGTGCTAGGTCTGCTATTACTCAATATTAATAGAGCACTGCTGACGTGCAGGCAGTATCTGGGAAGAGTCTACTGTGTATGCCAAGCAGCGAGCTTGCTCAGGGTAGATGTGAAGACGGGGGGTCAGGAAGATACCACAGGCACACCATGAAGATACTCAAGGTCAGGAACGAGAAATTTTTGTATCTTATCTGCCTATTCCCTACCTGCCTCATTTTCGCTGTGCCTTGTTCCTCATAGCTTATCGGCATCTTCATCAAAGAGTGACTGAAGGAGATAACGTTCAAATGACATATTGATGTTAGCAAATCATTACAGCTGAGGTTCAGGGTGTCTGTGAGATTGCGCTGAGCCGGCTCAGAGTTACAATCAGCATCAGGAGCTGGCCTGATCAGTAATGTATCAGAGGGGATGGGAGAAGAACTTTAAAATCACCTTTAATTATCATCTTTTGGGGACAAGCCAACTTAAAAACATCCTCCATAGACCAGAGATCAAGGAGGATAAATCTGATTCCCATTGTAAGGAAGCTCCAGAAGAAACGGGGTCTCCAGAAAGTATCCTGCCCTGTTTGTTTGGTTTTTTTAAGTTCTCTTCAGAAGAACTCTGATTTCTTATTCCTGCCAGCACACCAGTTTTTTTTTCTATTGTAACTATATACTTAGAAAAAAATTTAACACACTAGCCCTTATATATGATATTATCTCAAGTGGCTAAAACAGGAACTTGCCTGTGGAGAGAAGGGAGTCCTGTGGGCCTTTAAATTACCACAGAGCCCAGGAAGCTGACACTTCTTTTTCTAGAGTGTGTTTTGCTGCCCTTTTCACAATATTCCCATGGCGCCTTTTTACTGTGCAGTGGTCCTCATTTCTGCCTATTTTAGCTTTTATTTCCATCAAATTTACTTGCAGTGGTGGAGAGGCTGAACTTGGGGTATTATTTTTAATCTGCATGAAAATTCCTTTCCCCCTTTCCATATTTATCAGAGGCTGATTTGGCATCTCCAAGAAGGAAATCACTACACAGTGTAGAAAATGCTTACAGCGGCCCGAAAAGTGACAGACTGACTGCGCCAAAAAAAAAACCTCTGCTTATTGGCAACACCTGTTATCTCAGCTCATTTCTACACACCTAGCCTGGAAATACCTGCCATGAAATGTCAATTGTTTACTCTGTAATAAATCTGCAAATTGCTTAGCTCAGGGAGCAGAGTCTCCTTAAAGTAGCATTTCTCAAACTGTGAGCCATGGACCACCTGCAACAGACTCACCTGAGGTCCTTATTGGAAAGACCAATTTCTGGGCCCCACTGCACACCTATTTCTGAATCAAAATCTGTAATTGACAACAATGAGTCTTTAAAACCTTGCCTTAGAGAATGTATCAATGTGACCAGAATTGAACTTTATGACTTATTTCCTCAATCGATCAGCTAGTATGGCGTGGCTAATAACTGCCCGTGACTTCATCACTTCCCTGCATCCTCTCTGGCCCACGCACCTGGCTCAAGGATGGATGAGGGAGCTGCATACTTGACAGCATCTGAGAGGAACACTGGGCAGCACTGAGGACCCAGGCTGGGTGAGGCCAGCAGTCTGTGCACCAACCAATCTGCGTGGTACCGTGGCGTCTCTATAACAGGTTCAATACCTGTGGGACCCTCCGACTGAGGCAGCCTCCACTTGCTTTACATCTGCAGAGAGAGACAAAAAGGCATAATTCCACACACACAGACACAAACAAGAATGACAGAAAATTATTTAAAAAGTAACTTAAACATGAATATATATGCTAATACACTGCAACTACAAATCGAACATCCTGTGGGTTTTCTATTAACTTTCAATCCCTCCTCATTGGGAATCAGTAAAATCATTAGCCAGACACGGTTCAAGGAATTATCCTTTTCCTGGTCTGGACTTTTTTCTTCCACTGGCACCCGCACCAGTACCCGGCTCGTCTTCTGTTTCAGGCTGGCCTTGTTGGAATGGTCATTTCCTCATTATATGACACAATGCCAGCAGCCCAGCACTTCCAGGCTTCCTATAACAGCTCAATACACTGAAACTGCTCAATTGAATTTGTGCTCTGTCTCACTCTCTAATTACACGGAATTAAAGTGGTTCCCTTGGTGTCCGGATCTCTCTGAAAAAGCCTGTCCTCAGAGGAAAATGCACAGTTTGCAGTCTGCCCCGCAGCTCCGAGCCTCCTGTGGGTTGCCTATCACTGGCTCAGGAGGGCCACCATGTCTCCTAGTCCGGCAGGTGAGAAGACCTTTGAACTGAGCTCCCCTCCGTTCCCTTGGAAATATTTCCTATCTGCACAAAAACCCTTGCATTGTATCATATTTCTGGTGACCCACACTCTCAAAGTCACCGGAGGTGCTCCTGCTTCTAGCCATGTGGGCTGTCCTGCGGGGCCTGCACGACCCTCCCAGCCTGTCTGCAGGTGGGAGATAAAGTGACCTCTCCCTCCATGGGGGTGTGGCCTTTCTTTAGAGCTCCCCAATGGGGCATAGGAGTTGGAGAAGCAGGAGTTCATGGGAAGCTTCTTTGTCTAGTGGATGTTCTGCCTTCCTGGAGCAGCCCAGGAGCTGAGGCATAGGTTCATCCATCACCTGCAGAGAAGATCCTGCTCCTGTTTGCTATGTGGAAAGAACTCATAGTCCCAGGTAGTAGTAATAGGAAATCTGGATGCCAAGTAGGAGGCGAGAGTGTTGGAGGTGCCTCCCCCACCTCTAGAGAATGAGGGCAGTAAGTCACCCCCCAGGTTCAAATGGAAATAATCATGTGGGTGGGAAGAACTAAAATTTTCATCAAAAATTAAGCCATTGTTGTAATCAGGTAATAAAAATAACACAATGAGTAGAAACACAGACTCTGACTGTGTTATTAGTATTGATGGGTTTATAATGAAGTCCTGCAAGGCAGGAAGTTGAATTTTAAGCTGTTCTTGGATTTTGTTCAAATTCCATTTTCAAAAGGATTAAGTGCTAGCTATAATTTTTTAAATTACTCCAGAAAACCAGCCTTTCTAAATAATGGTCTACTCCTTAAGGAAAGCATTTTATAATAAAAGGCAATAAAGATCTATAATTGCATAAAATGAGAATTTTCTAGTCAATTTGGGCAGAAAAACTGAATCAAGTCAGAAAATCTGTGCTGCAAATCTTTGATTTTCCAACTAAATAAAGCAGCAGTAGAGATGTCTACACTTCTTGGGTTTTTTTTTTTTTTTGCTTTTTTACTGGAATTATTTTGATGATACACGTAGAGACCTGAATTATCAAAACAGAAACTTAATTTACTAGAATAACCTTCCTCATGGGAAGAGCAAAAGTGTTCTCCCTATGATTTTTTTTAAATGAATTTAACTGCAGAAATCTGACTTCCTTTAAGCGGGAAACAAAGACATATGTAAGAGAGACAATGGATCTGAGATATTCATTTATTCACTTGATAGATATTTATTTGACCAGGAGCTGAACTAGCCAACACATGCAAAGGATATTCCTTTTCTTTAGTCTTTTGAGTCAAGCATCCATACGTGCTAGCAGAAACATTTCCAGAGATGAAGATGTTTATAAAGTAAAATTAGATTTCCCTCCCATCTCATCCCAAATGGGTGTTAATAATACTTTGTTAATCCCACTAACAATTTCAAGTGATTTCTTTTATACTTCTTTTATTTAAATAATCATATGCATTTACATTTATCATTTATATGTATATCATGTATATGATATGTATATGTATATCATTTATACTATACATATTATAAACTATAGTATGTATATATACATTTATTCTGTAACTTTTCTCACTTTATTATATATTCATATACGTCTAAGACAAGATACAGAAATATATCTCATTATTTTACTTGGTAAAATACTTTTACTTGACTACACGGTATTCTGTAGACTTAAATTCCATTGTTTAAAAAATTTAATCACTATCTTGTTGATAGACCTTCGATTTTTCTCTAGTTTATGTAAATAAGAAAATTGCCATAGTAAACATTCTTTAGCATATATATTATATGCAAATAATTTTTCCTGTTGAATATATTCTCCAAAGTGTACATTGCTGTGGTAAAGATAGATGCATTTTCAATTTTAATAAAAATGACAGATAACTTTTGTACAAATTATGGCAATTTACAATCATGCCAACAATGCATGTGAGTTCCTCATACCCTAGTGAGCACTTTATATTATCATTTTTAATGTTAGACTCTAACGGTTAGACATGGTAGCTTATTTTGATTTTGATTTGTATTTCCCAGATGACAGAGGTTCATACACTCATCAGACATTGCCCTTTCTCTTCTGTGGACTGCCTGTTGGTATCTTCAGGCCATTTTTCTATTGGATCATTTATAAGTTGCCTGCACATTTGCTAGAAGCTCTTTGAAATATAATCCTTTGCTAAGTTTATTGCAAACATTTTTTCCCAGTTTATTTGATTGTTTGACTTTTGACTTTTTTAATGTCTTCCTTTGCCATACTGAAGCTTTTAACTTCCATGTAAGAACTTCTGTCCGATTTTATAATTTACTCTCTTTTCTAAGAAGTTTACCCCCGTACCGCCTTCATCCCCAAAGATACACAGATATTCTCTGCCTTTTGTCTCCTTTACAGCTGTAGGTTCCTATGACGTCTTTTGGAACCAGCCTGTGGCTATTTTTTCCCCTAAAGCCCTTTCTACGTACTCCTACATTCTCTCTTCCTATGTTTCATTCTCTTAAATCGCATTGGATCTTGTGTCTGGGAGGGGTTGGGTTTTTTGTTTGTTTTTGTTTTGTTTTTTTGTTCTCAGACTTGATGTGGTCTGTCGAAGAAGAAAACAAAATGGGGACATTATTAGCAGGGCACTGTCATTTCATACAAGCACTAGAGAAAGAATGTACATCGTGCAGGAAGGGCAAATACATGAATGACACAGGGCCCCATCACTTATCACCTCTGCCACACACACCTGTTCCCACATGTTGAAAGTTTACAGCTTTCCCATACACCCTGGGCATGGCCTTTCTATCCTGCCCAATAAAGCACCAGTAGCAGATGGCATTTCTCAAAGATCGCCACAACTATATCTCCCATCCCACGTGCTTTCTAGAACCTTGTTGCCTGCCCCCATCAAGAGGTGGAGTCTAATTTCCCTCCTCTCAAGTCTGGGCAGGTTTGTGGCTCACTTGTAATCAACAAGAACATAGCAGAAGCAATTCTGCTGGTCTTCCAAGGTTAAGTCGTAAAAGATGATGCAGCTTCTGCCTTCTTTACTGAAATACTCACTCATGAAGGTGCAACACGTGTCCTTGAAGTCTTCAGCCATTCAATTACCCTGAGATCACCAGGCTGTGAGGAAGCCTTGCAGAGAGACCACATTTATATAAAGAGAAAGAGAAACATGCTCTGTCAGTCTCCCAGCCGGGATGCACACAGGTATGTTACCACACAAAAAGCTAACACTGTAAACTTAACCACTGAGGCCATGTTAACTGTCATACAGCTGATAGCCAGCTGCACCTCCATGCTGCCTTCTCTTCCTCCCCATTTACACCTGGATGCAATTCTTACTGCCTTTCTCTCTCTTTTCACAGGGCTTATTTCAATTCACATCATTTGAAGACAGGACATTGCTTCTTGCCTTCTGTCATATTCTTTCTAGCAATGTTATGTTGCCATCTTGAGACAGGAAGGAAGGGAGCAGGAAATAGCCATTAAAGGAATGACACAGCAATTAGCACCAAGATGGTGGAGAATTCAACTCCCAGTAGATCTCGAGGCCCAAGATGGCAGGAGATCTGACTTCCAGTAGACTTTGAGCTTTACTATACACTTGTTGTAATATATTATCATGGTAAATGGTACTCCCACAGGCACCACGACAGTTCCAAGGCTGGCTATAAAAGGTCAAAAAGAGAGCAGTGGCACAGTTCCTGGAAATCTCAGCCCCGTCCCCAAAATAGTTGAAATAACCCCCCAACTTGTTAGCATATGAAGATACCGAGCCAATAGAAACTAACATCTCTGCACCTAATGGTCACTTTCTCTCTCTCTTGCCTTCTGAGGTGGCCCACACTCTGTCTATGGAGTGTGTATCTACTTTTACTTTAAACTAAACACCCAACCCCACAACTTGAGGAGGTCTTTTTTCGTGCCTTTTGAGAAGGCCCGCACTCTGTCTTTGAAGTGTGTATATCTACTTTTGCTTTAGCCACCCCCACGCCTCGTGGTCTCTCTGGCCTACTGGAATGGCCTACACTCAGTCTGTGGAGTGTGTAGCTCTCTGAATAAATCTATTTTTACTCAATTATGGCTTGCTCTTGAATTCTTTCCTGTGCGAGGCCAAGGACCCTCACTTGGCGGGGCACATCCCAGGGGCTAGACCGAGACCTGGGACATGGCCCTCCTCTCAAACTCCATTTTCCTGTACAGTCTCTCCATCCCTCTTTCTTACCTTCTGTGATTTCTTCCAAGCAATCTTTATTGTAGTTCTTTTGATTTCTTCTCAAGGAATTCAGGCAGTAAAACAGGCAAAGGATGGACACAGGCAGGAACTCGAGAGGGATGGATGGCAAAGGCCCTTGTCCTTGATTTGGAGAAGAGACGGTGACTCACTGAATGGGTTCACTGACCTCTCCCTTCAGTAACTGCTGTGTGCTGCTTCCGTGTCTGCTACACATTCCAGAAGGCCAAGTTAGAAAAACACTATTGGTTTTCCTGCTGTCATTGTCCTATTGTCACCATAGCGACAGATGTTATGTGATATCAGCTGCTTTATTGTGAAAACAATGTAGATTGAAAACTGGCCTTGGGGAAGTTGCAAAGAACAGGAGATTCAATTCTGATATATCATCTTGTGGATTTTCTTTTCTATGTTAGCTTTTCTTTTATATATACTTTATTACAAGACAATAATATAAAATAAAAAGTCAAAGGGTCATCTTTTGAATTTTTTCAGTGGTTATTCAATTCAACAGTATAAGAACAGGTCTTGGTGGGAGCCTTGAAAACAAAATTAAGTATGTGCCAATCCAAAGAAGTTTAAAGCAGCCAAAGGAACCATATTGGTCAATGTGCTGTGTACTGAACATTAGCTGCAGTTATTTTATTCTTCTGAACATTAAATTCTATTTCTGGACCAAAGTTAGGAATGAAAACACAGACATTTGGAATCTGACACCATCCCATTAACTAGTTAGAGCCCTGATTCATCATAAATGAGACCATTCAGAATCCAAATGGCTGCCAATAAATCAAACTAAATAATGGCACAATCAGCCTTCTAATCCCCAAAAGATACATACATATCCAGACTAGAATAATACAATGAGGTGAGAAGGAAGGAATAAAAAATCTGTGTTATCATCACCAATTAGTGCCAACAGTGAGTTCAGGAGGCCTGTTACCTGTTCCTGCAAGTGGCCGGGTGTTTCATTCATTGAATAAGCCATCAAGTTCAGGGGGACTTTGGACGAGATTTGATTTCAAAGACACACAAAAAATTCCTGGTCTTTTGTATGAGATTATCCAGGAAGGAATCAGGAATGAGACAAAAAAAAGTTTATACCATCTGGAAACCCTAGAAATTAGAATAAAATAATTCGATGGTAGGTAGACATAAGTGTAGTTTCATTTTTTAATCATGTTGTTTCAACCACCAATTGAAATATAGGTATATTGCAAAGACAAATTTGTGAACTTCTTTAAAAAGGCATGAGTATCCAGTTGAGTACTCATACCACCTATTTCCTTGATGCTAAGTATCAACATAATGGTAATTCTAGAGACAAAATTTTAATCAGAAATCAGAAAATTGTGAAAACCATAGAATGAGATCTAATGAATCTTAAGGAAAGGTATGACTACAGTTATATATTTATGATTTTAAATCTGACTAAGGAGGCTTTCTCGGACTGTAAGGCAGTGGTACCAAAACCCCCAAAACCTGGATTCAAATCTTGAATCTGCTTCTTACTAGCTATGTGATTCAGATAAATTCCTTAACCTCTAAACTTCAGTTTCTTTATCTTATCAACTGGAAAAAAAATGCACAGCCTAAAAGTTGAGAATTATGTTTTATTCCGTGGATTTTCTGAGGACTTCAAGCCCAGGAGACTGCCTCTCAGATAGCTCTGAGGGACTGCACTGAAGATGTAAGGGAGGAGCCAGGACACATAGGAATTTTTGCAACAAAGACCAGGTAGTCAGAATATTAAAGGATTACTGCTAATTAAAGAAAACCAGATATCTCAAGTTAAGGAATTTAGCGCTTTTCTATGTATGGGAAGATGCAAGACTCTGGGCTCACTGAAATCATTCCTTCGATATGCACCTTAGCTGTCTAGGACCAATATCCTGTACTTTCCCATCCTGAGTCCCTTGTGGTGCACTGTTGGGGGTGGTGCAGTGGCTGAGGGCTTGGCAGCTGGCAGCCCATTTGTCTCCATCCTGAGTTCCCTCAGGGCTCACCTTCAGGGCAGCTGTAGGGCTGGATGGCTGCAACATCCTTTGTTTACTAATATGGCAGGTAACATTTTTCATTCACAATCTATAATATCCACTTCACAAAGCATTATGAGGATTAAATGAGAGAATGCAGGAAAAGAGTTTTTCAACTCCTGGGACACAGAACTGTTCTTTTAACACTTTTATCATAGTATAATTCCCGTTACAGTAAACTACACTATTGTACACTATTTCAGGTGTACAATTCGATGAATTTTGATAG